GATAAAGGAAATAATTACAACTATAAAAAGGTAGAGTAGAGCAAGTAAAGACAGCAGAGAGAGGAAATGTGGTCAATTTGTCCTCCAGCAGTCTAAGCCTATAGCAGCATAACTAAGGGACAGCTCAGGACACCCAAGCCGACCCTAACTATAGGAATATGATTTATTAAAAAGGAAAGTCTTAAGTCCAGTCTCAAAACTGGACAACGTGTCAGCCTCATGGACAGAAACTGGAAGTTGGTTCCACAAGTGAGGAGCCTGATAACTGAAAGATCTTTCTCCCATTCTGCTTTTGGAAACTCTAGGAACCACAAGTAAACCTGCAGTCTGAGAGCAAAGTGCTCTGTTAGGAAAATATGGAACAGTAAGATCTGTAATATAAGATGGAGCTAGGTTGTTGAGAGCTTTGTAGGTTAGATTTTGAATTCAATTTTCCAGATGTATTTCTCCTCTCATTATGAAGCTGTGTGGTGCAGTGGTCTGAAAGCTAAAAATGGCCACAGAGTTGAAGAAATGTTTCACTAAAAGCAACTGAATGTATGTTAGCTTTGGCTGAGTGCCTAAAATAACATATAGTCTGTGTGCACACTTATGATATCACATTTATGATTCTCAATCTGCTTTGCAACATTGTTATCACCACATCTTTGCATTCAGCCATAATCTGACCAGCAGAATGATTTGGCACAGTGAGTATGATAGGGTTTCTAAAGTTGTACAATAAGTTCTCTGGATTGCATCACATGCAAGGTCTTATAGCAGAGCTTACCACATTATGAAAAGCTGCTCTATTTTTGAGATTATTGTAAAATGAAGTACACCCAGTCCAACGTTTTGTAAAAAACAAACAACCCACATGATGATTAAAAGATCTCCATCTGGCCCTTACCACGCCTTACAATAAACTAAATGCAACTTTTGGGAGAACCCATTTACAAAAACTTGGTATGTTATGTAAAATTAAATGAAAACAAAGCAATGATTTGAAAAATCTCATAAACCCATATTTTATTCACAATAGTAGACATAAATAAGAAGGGGGTTCTCTATGCATCAGTCTAGTTCAGGTGCCCCACAACCAGGACTAACAAATGAAAAATAATAATTAATAAGAAGCTTGAGCTCACTGATAAGTGTTCAGCTTTAATGAGAAAACAGACAAAACTTAAAAGTCCATACTGGATGGTTGTGATCTTTCTTAATTTAAACCTGTTTTTATTTACATTTTACCCATTGTCCCAGTTTTTTGGAACATCATGTTATAAAACTTGAATTATGTCACATTATTAATAAAATATAGAGACCAAGACAAAAATAATGCATCATAAAATAAATAAAATAAATCATCTATCTGAGTTTCTCACGCCAATGAGGAGAAATCTTTGTTGATTGCCCAATTCATTGGCACTGGAGGACATTCATCAATGTGATGGTGCCCAACCCTGGTCCTTGAGGAACACCATTCTGCATGTTTTAGTTGTTCCCCTGCTCCATCGTACCTGATTCAGTGATTTAATTACTTCCTCCAGTTCTGCAGAAGCCTGTTAATCACCCTTTTATTCAAATCAGGTGTGTTGGAGCAGGAAACAAATAAAACATGCAGGATGGTGTTCCTCAAGGACCAGGGTTGGGAACCACTGCGAAGCTCTCTGGTCCCACCAGAACCTCTCAGTTGTGGTGAGATCAGGGTGTTGCCTGGATTATTGCAGAACTTTATTTTCTTTTTGAACCGTTCTGTTGTAGATTAGCTGCTGTTCTGGGAATCATTGTCCTGCTGGACCCAGTTTGGTCAGACAGAAGGTTTGACTCCAGAACAGTTGGTCTACAGACGATTCAAGGTCAACTCAGAGACTGCAAGGAGTCGAAACCATCAGCCTTCCATTACCGTGCTGACAGTATGAGATGTTTGTGCTGATATGGTGTGTTTGGTTTTCTCTAAATGTGTTGCTATGTATTATGGGTAATCTTTTTAAATTTGGTCGTGTCTGTCCAAACTAGTACATTATTCCATAAATCCTTCAAAGTTGCATTCAAACAAATGACAACAGAGTTGAGATGCAGTTTCGAATGTTCTTATAATCTCAGATTAGTGAGCAGCAACAGTTGCTTCACTGATGTCATTGCTGATGTCTTTCCTTCCTGGCATTGTGCTTTAGAGTGGCTAAAGTACTTACCTTCTTATTTTCATTCTTTACACACAGAGTAGTTTTTAAAGCACTCTGCACTTTGGTTTAGTTTTTGTCAATCACCAACATGTATTCCTTAATATATTCTGTCACATGAAACCTTAAAGGAAAAGGAAAACAGAGAGCATGCCTTCATTTTACTGGAACTGAACCATGACCTATTTATTTCACAACATGAAAATATTATTATGTGCAGCCAAACTGTTGCCTTTTTAGCTCTTCACTGGAATGCAAAAGTGACGTTTCAACACCTTTCCTTACTTTGATTCTAAAAATCTTTGACCTTCAACCACAACAATGCTGTTACATCAGTCGGCATCACGCCCTGCGGTCACACGGCAGGCAACATTTCACCCAGTGCCAGCTGAAACCATGGGACCCGGAGGAGCCACTCACAGGCAGAACAACACTTTGACTCAAGTTTCATTGAAAATCTATTAACGTTTTGAAATCGTGTTAACCTGTTAGAACCCGCCTGACCTCTGGTGTGGGTAAAACATCTGCCTGTTCACCTAAAAAACAAGAACAGCAATGTTACTGTTTAGAACTAGAGAAATTGCATTTCCTGTGAAATTCAATGTGAATGCTTATTGCAGAATAATTTGCTGAAAAACTGCTAAAATTAGTTTAAAAAACATTCTGAAATGTAGCTGAAATGGAAGAAAAAAACTAAATTAGCCAAAGAAAGCAGAAATAACAAACATTTGCTGAATTAGTTTTAAATTAGCAGAAATTAACACAAAAATTAGGAAATTCACCAAAAAAAAAGCAGAAATGAGCAAGTAGCTGAAAATAAGCTAAAAAGCCAGAAATAAGCTTAAACTACCAGAAGGAAGCTGTAAGAGCTGAAATGAACGAAAAATGTGGAATTTGCTGAAAAAGTTACAATTAACACAAAACAGCTAAAAAGTAGCTGAAATTGCAGAAAAGCTGAAACTAGGATAAAAAAGCTGAAAGGAGCATAGCAAGCTACAATTAGCATAAAGAAGTTAATTAGGCTGAAAGTAGCAGAAATTGCATGAAAAACATGAATTTATCTGAAAACAGATCAAATTAGCTAAAAAAGGTGAAAAGGTAGAACAAGCAGAAGGATGCAAAGGTTGGCTTGCAAAGGATTTCAGGTTGGCTGAAATAAGCAGAAATGAGCACAAAACTTGAATTTATCTGGAAAAAAAGTGAAATTAGTTTAAAAACTGCAAAAAATTAGTTGAAAAAGCAGAACAAGCCTAAATTAGCAGAAGAAAGCAGAAATAACGTTTGCCCAATTAGGCTGAAAGTAACAGAAATGAGCTCAGAAAAGTGGAACTTATTTGAAAAAAGCCAAAATGGACCCAAAAAAACAGCTGAAAAGTAGCTTAAAAAGCAGAAAGAAGATTAAATTACCAGAAGGAAGTGGAGAGAGCACATTTTTGCTGAATGAGGCTGAAAAAAGTGGAAATGATTGCAAAAAATGTGGAATTAGCTGAAAAAGCTAAAATTGGCATAAAAACAGCTATATAGTAGCTGAAATAGCAAAAAAAGCTGAAACGCAGAAATAAGCTGACAGGAGCATAACAAGCTGAAATTAACAGAAAGAAGCTAGAGAAGCACAAAAATGTTGTAATTTGCAGAAAGAATCTAAAAGGATCACAAAACAGCTAAAAAAACAGTTGAAATTAGCTGAAAGTAGCTGAAAAAAACTGGTAAATTTGCACAAGGAAAGTGAAAGAAGCTGAAGCGGAACAAAATGTGAAGGGAGCAGTAACATTTGTTGTAAACACATCTAAAGACTCGATTCATTTTCTGTGAGGAAAAAAATGGCAGAAAAAGCCAAATATTTCAAAAAGCTAAAGTTGCATCAATACCAAAAGTCATAGCAGGATTGTCCTGAAAGAGCCGAATGTTTTGATTTATGATTTGATGAAATAGCACAAAAATTGTGGAACGAGAAAGATGCTGAAAAACATACAGAAGAAAACTGGATGACAACAGAGTGACAGTATTGATTCTGTTGTCACACGCTGCCTAAAGGAGGGGGTGGACAATGTCCTTCTTGTGTCTGGGTGCATGTGGATGTTAGCAAAATATCTCATAAACCACTGCACAGATTCTATTGAAATCATAAAAAACTAAATATCTGATGATCTACAAATGATGAACTTGTGGAAACACCAAAACACCTGAGCCCTCAACATGGAGCTGAAATGGGATGAGACACTGGAGGCCGCTGAGCCACCGTCCTCATCATGACTCAGCACTTTCAGCGGGGGTTGCCTGCCTTACATCAGCCTCTGACATCATTTCTGTTCTGCTCCTGGAAAATCATGTGCTGCTGTGAGCGTGACACGGCTGCAGACCGAAAGGAGGAGCAGGAGCAGCTCAGACCCCTGAAAACCCACAGCACCCATTACTGGAATAAACCAGTTCTAGTTTGGATCTGATAAAAAGTCGAGCTGCGCCAGGTGATCAGGCCGTGCCACACAGCCTGTGTGCAGCTTTCTGGCACTTTTTCTAGGAATCCACAAAAAGGTCAAACTAAAGGGTGCAACAATCCAGCGCTGGTGAAAGAGCAGCAGGTCTGGATGAATGCACCGGGCCTGCTGACCCAGGCAGAAGCCGGCCTGCGCTCACAGCAGTGGATTATTGTTTCGCTCAGAGATGGCTCTGGGGCCACCGCGGCCAACATGACCCCTCTGATCCGCACGTGACACCCCAGCTGCTGCACGTTCAGCCTTTCAGGCAGGAAATGAAAGGAAAAAAGGTGCAGGACATTTAGGCTTTCGTTTCAAAAACTTTTTTTATTGACAGCAAAACAAAAGTGTCTTCATTTCAGATCTTTCAAATAGGTAGAAAAGAACATAAATATGCTTAAATATATTAAAAATAACTTAAACTGTAACAAAGGAACCAGCTGGAATATGAAACACTAAACGCAGAATGTCTTCACTGGATGTGGAGCCCTTTCCCTTTTGAAATTACGACAACAGCAACCTCAGCACGAACAAGTTTAATCAAGTAAAACCACAGGAGGTCCAGTGTCTGAACGGGTTTCTGCAGGGAGGGGCTCGGTCCGCTCAGCAGCTCCGTGTTCTGGCCTCTCCCCACGTCTCTGGACTCGTCACAAAGTCTTTACCAAACATTTACATGATATGGTCCTTGTGCACAGCTACGAGCTGAAAATAAAAAGCACACATGCTTTTTATTTTTATTCCACCTCAGGACAGTCCCTCTGCATCTCATGTGGGGTGTAAACTCCACACACAGTCCACAGTGGAAGTCCTCCGCATCCTCTGCTAAATGCATCCCACACTGACTGGGTGGTCAAACGGTGCCCATCAGGGTGTACAGTGCTCCTCCTGTGCAGATGAAATCAGTTTCTGGACAGGTGTTCAGTTGGAGGGAGCTTCATCGGTCCGACAGATTGATGATGGGAACCCACTGATCCATGCAGCGGCTCTCTCTGCAGAACCTGCTGAGTTTGCTCAGAGCGGGGTCCTTCCATGATGTGGAGTGTGGGCTCTGAAAACAAAGAGACATCTATGGATTAGGGCTGCTGGGAAGAGGATTAATAATCACTTACAATAATGATTTATTTAGTCGACATGTTTTTTAATCCTCTTCAGTTTCTATTGAAATAACCGTTTCCCTCCACACCACTAGTTGTACTAGTTGTAGCAGCATCAGGTGTGTGACCTCACAGACGTGGCCTGATACCACTTACGGGTTATTTTTTATTTGCTAAATGCACTCTATGAAGTTAGACAGGACGTCTGTTTGATGCATGTTCCTGTGAATACATGTTTGAGAAAATTTGACTTGAATATGTTTTTATCCACTGTAGGCAAGAAACGCATCATGATGGATGAAAATCCACTACATGTCGACAGGAGCGGTAGCACATCTCAACAGGGGAGCACAACGTAACACAACACCTGTGTGTGTTGATCACCAGCTAAGTTACTAGGTTTAAAATCAGACAAATAGTCATATCTTATTTATGTATTAAAATGCAAAGTAAGTTGCATGTTTTTCACATGTTGCCATCTTGTTGAAAACATACAGATGTTTGCATGACTGATGTGGCTCTTCTGGTAGTTTTCTTTGTAAAAATAAGCTTGTACACAAATCCTTTAGAAGTCACATGCAGGAGGCGGTGTGTACAGGTTTATCACGTGCCGAACAACAAGTCCAGGCAAGTTCTGTCTGAGTAATAGTTTCACTCATGCGCCCATGCCCTGCAGTCATGTGTACAATCCATGCCAGCATAAAAGCAGATTGATGAACAGAACTTACAGTTACAAGGACGCAGTGCAGGTCCAAAGGTTCATTCCCGCTCAACTTCCCTCCTCCTCCCAGGATTTCTGCCAGGCGCCGGGTGCTGTTGACTCTCAGGATGTTGATGTCATTCTCGCAGCAGAAAGCCTGAATGAGCGTAAAGTGGATCTGCAGCGCCACGTCTTTAACGTCATCGTCATCCGTGGCCAGTATGCACAAAACCACGTTATCAGGGTCTCTGTGGGCGAAACAGAAAAAGTACAGTGTGAGTCTACATTTAGACAACAGCTGGAAGATTCAGGGCTTAGCCTTTCTAGGAGGAATGCACGTCACCCGCCACCTATCGTGCCACATTTTTAGACTAAAACCATCTCATATTGAGAACAGAACATGAAGTGCATGATATGTCACACCACGAGTATGCGTTGAGGATTCCTGTCAGCTACATCAACGTTGAGCTCAGTATCTGTATTTATTTCTGAGTTATAACCATTTTTGTGTTGTGTTTTTAGCTTTGCTGGACGTGGCAGCCCTCTTACATCAAGTTGACTACAATAGTTGATCCAAGGATTACTTCCTGCAAGTTTCACCTAAATGTGTCCATTGGTTCATGAGATATTTTGCTAACAGTCCGTCACTCACACACTGATAAGAAGTTCTCGGTGTTGTTTTACAGCTCCTCTGTCAGTGCTGCAGCTCTGGTACTTACACATTCAGGGACTTGGCAGCCTCGTAGACACCAACTGTGATGCAGCCCTGAGGCAACGCCGAGGTCAGGACTTCTTCCAAAGCTCTGGCCACAGTATCCATCCTTTAACACACATTAATGTTCACATTGAGTCGTATCCATCCTTTAACACACATTAATGTTCACATCGAGTCGTATCCATCCTTTAACACACATGAATGTTCACATTGAGTCGTATCCATCCTTTAACACACATGAATGTTCACATCGAGTCCGGAGTCAGGGACTTCTCTCCGGTTAGCCGCAGCTAACTACCGGCTAACAAGCGACGCGTCCGACTCTCGCCTCGAAACAAGTTTTATCTGCTCCTCTGACTAACTCTGAACCTGAAGTAGGTTTGACATTAACAGAAAATACAAAATAAAACTCTTAATATCGAGCTAAGAGGTAACAAATAACAACAAAAACACCTAAAACTACAACGTAAGCTAGCAGTACAAAGAAAACTACTCTCGTGCAACTAATGCACGAGACGTTCCTGATCCTTTACAAATTAAACACAAAGTCTTCGTCGTTTACCTTTCCTGGGAGTAATCTCCACTTAGTTCCTCAAATGTCATGTTCAACATTAAATCCAAATCCACTGTTGTGCAAAAAAAAACCCGAGCGAACAGACGAACTGTGCCGGTGTCTTGTTCGGACTCAGCGCAGTCTTATCTTTTCCCTACAGAGCTACAAGTGACAGATAAATCTGGCAGCTTCACATTAAAACTGCCTGAGCAGCAGGAGCCGGGGTGATTTGTATACCTGCGCTGATTGGTCGGTTTGCAAATCAATCTGCGGTGGGATTGGATGATCACAGAGCAATGGGCGTGTCCACTGAAACACTGGAGTTTACCACTGACTGTTGATAGACGAGAATTCTGGCAGCCATCTTGAAAAGTGTTTTATGCATCACAGTATTGCTTACAAATGGAAGCAACATGTTAACTACTTTTAAGTGTTGTATGCTGTATCAGTCCATAGGCGCTCAGGAAAAAAAGAAACACTTGTTTCAATACAAAACCTAACGTGCATAATGTAAAAACAGTACATCAGGCAAAATGCCAACCTGATTTTCGGCGGCTGTGGCTGAGTGGTTAGAGCAGTCGACCTCCAATGCAAGAATTGGGGGTTCGAACCCACCAGCAGTCTCATGTCAAAGTGTCCCTGGGCAAGACACTGAACCCCTCATTGCCTCTGATGTGTGTCCCCTCAGTTTATGAATGTGATAAAGCTCTGATTAGTCTCTTTGGAATGATTTGTTAAATTAACTTTGTAGAGATCTAGTAGAGTGCTGTATGAATGGGTAAATGAGGACACAGATTGTAGTGTAAAGCGCTTTGAGTATCCCGAGTGATCAAATTACTAAATGCTAAACATTACTGAACAATAATAATGATAAAAAAGCATGCCTGCTCGGGTGGGATAATCAGAGCTCTGCCATCAGTGCCAAATACGGTCTGCTGTAAGTAGATAAAGCAATTGCCACACAAAGAACTTTTAAAGATGGCGGCTCAAACTTTCATACCATACCATACCATACCAATTTATTTATATAGCACTTAAAACAGCAACAAGGCCAACCAAAGTGCTGTACAAAAGAACACAAACATGCACAGCAGACAGGAAAACATAAAATAGAAATACAGATACAAATAGCAGCAGAAGCTAACTAAAATGGCCAACAGAGTAGAGAACAGACCGGACCAAAACAAATCACACCGTGTTAGAGGCATATCAGCATGTATTGTGCGGAGCCGTCCTTCCAGTGTTTCAGTAGTTTAATGGGCGTGTCTGTGTCCGGCCGGGTTACTACAGTTACTGCCTGCTGGCCTCAGTTGAACACAAACATGATTTCTTTTTTTAAACATTTTACAACACTGCCTGCCTGTTGCTCATTAACGCAAACCAATGCGCACGGTGCCTTCATTCAAAAAGGTCTAATCATTTGTTCTATGTTTCTGACACTTGTCTAAAGCTGTGACAGATCATAGATGTTCTTGCAGAACTTACCCTGGCTGCCGGTGTCCTGGAGCTGCATAGCAACAAGACGCTTCCGAGAGAATTCTGCGCTGTGATTGGTCGACAGTGGAGCGTGCGAACACCTCCTGGAACCGCGCGTGTGACCCAAGAGACTGGCACGAGACTGTCGGGGAGTTCAAAGACACCTGGACACTCATAGCTGCAAGGCATTACCGCAGCAACTAATTACCGAAAGGCAAGAGGCGGGCGATCATGTTGTTGCGCGTCACTGCGTGTATCTGTTAGCAAATATCTCATTAACCATTGGGCAGTTTTAAAACAAAACTTGCAGAAAGTAATGTTCGCACGTCTACAGCTGAATAACTGAATTCAAGATGGCCACAACAACCACTAGGCTTTAATTCAGACAATTTTACAAATATTGTAAAAATTGTAATGGTAGTAGCCATGATCCTTAACAGGTTTTAATAGTTTATTATTTTACTTATATATGAAGTTTGTTCTTTGTCTGATAGCAAAATATCTTATGAACCAATGGATGGATTTTATTTTAATAAATATTCTAAAAATATTCTTTGCATGCATACAATGGAATCATTTTCTGGACTTAATTCACTCAAGATGGCCGTCACTGTCAATTAACTTAAGGAAACATAAAAATAAAAAAAATGGCTGTATTTCAGTCACAGACATTGTGCTAAAAATGTGGTGTGGTTGTAGCTGAGCGTCATTTCTTACACGTCTTCTAATTTCACAAGAAATTCCTACCTAAAACTTCAATTCAGTTTCAATTCAGTTTATTTATATAGCGTCAAATCACTACAAAGTTGTCTCAGGGCACTTTACAGGAACATTCACATAAAAGCCAATTAGTAAAGTTCTCTATCTAATGAATCCAGCAGACAAGTTGAATATTGGCTTCGTCACAGTCTCCCATCCTGAGCAAGCACAGTGGCAACAGTGGAAAGGAAAAACTCCCTTTTAGAAAGAAGAAACCTTCAGCAGAACCAGGCTCAGGACAAGCGGCCATCTGCTTTGACCGGCTGGTTGAGAGGACAGGAAGGAGAGACAGACGAACACAGAATGGTAGGTCCAGGTGTATCTGAAAGACAAAAACACATGTTAAGGACAGAAAAAATAATTACAAAAACAAAACAGGTTGAGCAGAGTAAGTAAAGACAGTAGTAGAGTGAAAAGTGTGGTCAGTTTGTCCTCCAGCAGTCTAAGCCTATAGCAGCATAACTAAGGGATAGCTCAGGAAACCCAAGCCGACCCTAACTATAGGATTGATCAAAAAGGAAAGTCTTAAGCCTAGTTTCAAAACTGGATAATGTGTCAGCCTCACGGACAGAGATTGGCAGTTGGTTCCACAAGAGAGGAGCCTGATAACTGAAAGATCTGCCTCCCATTCTGTTTTTGTAAACTCTAGGAACCACAAGTAAACCTGCAGCCTGAGAGCGAAGTGCTCTGTTAGGAAAATATGGAACAATAAGAACTGTAATATAAGATGGAGCTAGGTTGTTGAGAGCTTTGTAGGTTAGAAGTAAGATTTTGAATTCTATTCTGGATTTGACAGGGAGCCAATGGAGAGAAACTAAAACTGGAGAAATATGATCTCTCCTACTAACTCCAGATAAGACTCTGGCAGCAGCATTTTGGACCAACTGAAGATGTTTTAAAGAATATTTGGACATCCAGATAATAAATCATTGCAATAGTCCAGTTTAGACGTGACAAATGCATGAACCAGTTTTTATGCATCATTTTTAGATAAGATGTTTCTAATTTTAGTGATATTACGCAGGTGGAAGAAGACAGTTCTAGTAAAGTTTTTAATGTGGGGGATAAAAGACATGTCCTTATCAAAAATAACACCAAGATTTTTAACATTAGAGCTGGAGGACAGATTAATGCCATCTAAGGAGGGAGAAAGACTGAAAAATTCATCCCTAAGGTGCTCAGGTCCAAAAACCAAAACCTCAGTCTTGTCTGTGTTCAACAGGAGAAAATTAAGGGTCATCCAGGTTTTTATGTCTTTAAGACATGCTTGTAGTCTAAGTAGCTGATTGGATTCATTGAGTTTAATGGACAAATATAATTGTGTGTCATCAGCATAACAATGGAAATTTATCCCATGCTCTTTAATAACTTTACTTAATGGAAGCATATATAAAGTAAAGAGTATTGGCCCAAGCACTGAGCCCTGAGTAACTTCAGAATTAATTGTAAAAATCAACCATTTTAGTCTGTTAGCAAAATATCTCATGAACCTTTAAACAGCAATACAGCTGAATAAAGTTTGGAGTCAACTCCATTCAAGATGGCTGCCACAGCTACACAATGATGTCAAGCACATAAAATGGTTATAATTCATTCAGTCAGTTTTGCAGAGTTTGAGCTAAAACTTTTGAAATCAATCCAAGATGGCCACCACAATTAACAGACTATAGCCAACAAAAATGGTTAGTTTTAAGATTTGACCAAAACATCTACCACGTCATCATCTATTAAGGTTAAAACTCAAGCATGAAAATAGCAGGCCATATTTATTCTGCTTTAATTTAGTTTTACTGAAAAAACAAACTATATATAGTACTGCTGTTTGGCATATTGTTTTTTATGCTACTAGTGCTTCATGTATTTTTAGTTGCTGTTTTTCTTAGTTCATATCTTAGATCTCTGTGATGGACTTGCGACCTGTCCAGGGTGTCCCCCGCCCTTCACACAGTGATGGCTGGACATGGGCACCGGCGACCCCCGTGCCCCAACATGGAAGAAGCGGGTAAAAGATAATGGATGGATGGATATCTTAGATCTTATTACTGTTTTTCTTTTACATTTTATTGTTGGATGTAACTCAGACCCTGCGTACATAATCTCATTGCACCACATGAGTTGTGAATGACAAATCTCTCTGACTCTGATTAGATTTTATTAGGCTCATTGTAAACGTTTTTTTTTAGTTGCTGTTGATAAGTTGTTGAAGTTCAGTTTCTATGAAATAATCATTTTTTTAAATATAAATTACGAGATATTGAGACTTAAATTTCTGTAAAATGAGACAAATAGAAATCTAGAGGTTTGTTTACCACGCTCAAAGATGAGGACGTGTGTCATTCTGTGGAAATTAGGAAAAGTTTTGCTTCCCCCTGGCGGTTGTACTTTGGAAACATGGCTGTACACTTTGAAACTGTCGTTCAGTGCAGTGTACAGATTTCATAATGGAGATTTAATAATAATAATAATTTCATGCATATCAAAATATATGATGTAACCAAACAGTTTTCCCAGTGGTATTGCAGAATCAGCAGCCTTATTTTCTAAGGAATGAAGCTGCTGCATGTTCTGGTTGATCTCGTTACGATGAAATCAAGTTATCCTATAGATGGCAGGATGTTGAACAGGTTATGGGATGGATGACAGGGATCTTTCACATCACTGAGGACGTTTTTCTTACATATTTCTTGAGTTTTTTGAGGTTTTGGTCAACCACTTTATAGAACACATTTTAGCCCCTTGAGCTTATTGAAGCATGCACTGATTGCAACTAAAAATAAACAAAACAACAATAACAACAAGACTAGGCTTAAGACTTTCCTTTTTGATAAATCCTATAGTTATGGTCGGCTTGGATTTCCTGAACTATCCCTTAGTTATGCTGCTATAGGCTTAGACTATGGAGGACAAATTGACCACATTTCCTCACTCTGCT